AATCGGCCACGCCGTAAGTCTGCCCCGGATTCGTGGAATCCGCGAACTTCTAGCAATGGAAGCCCGTAGAATAGAATTCCTCGCAGGAATTCCATTTTATGCTTGCACTCGCCGCCGCCCCGAGCCTCGATTCGATTCGATTCGATTCGCTCCGAGAGAGCAATTCATTTTATCGTCTCGGATCGAGTAAATAATTTTCGTGGAAAAATCAATTACAAAATCAAACGCAACAAGATTGTCCGTCAGGTGGTAAACATTGTTAAACACTCGATGAATGGCAACTATTTTTCTAATCAAAATGCAAGAATGCTTGTCTATATCTCTACGATATATATATATAGGGAGACTTATCGTTAGTACTGTGTGCTTGTCTTGAGAAAAGTGACGAGTCAAAAATGACTCTGGCACAGTACTCGAAGAGTTAAATACGCAAATTCGATCGAAATTATACACTGTTTGGTGTCATTTTATTCAGAAAAGCCTCACAAGTATATTAGTAAAGGTTCCATTAAAAAAAAAGAAATAAAAAATAAATAAGTTTCACATTGTGTTATTCTTACCAGTTTTTCCTTTGTTTACATATTAAAGAGAGAAATAAAAAATTAAAAGATTCAATATTTCCATTTTTGGAAAAACACCAGTAACTTCAAGCACGAGGGATGCAATCTCTCGAAACAAGGTCGCGTTCACGCGCGAAGAGCAAACATGCACCCTGGGGCGTACCGGTAGCGTCCTAACATAATTTAGAAAAACGGAAACCGCGTGTTCGCCGGACCCTTCTTCGGTTCCACGCGTCTCGACGCCTCGATGGAGCCCCTCCCGAGCGTTCCGTGGACGCGATCCGGAAAAGGAAGTGGTTCGTTTGCACGGTCAATCGTCCGAAACGCGTTGGCCTTAACGATCGATCTCCTGCGGACGTCGCGTGCCGCTCCCCAAGCGATGTCACGGCCAGAAACGGGCGTTGATCCTCGAAATTGTCCCAGCCTGACCCCGCCGGGGGGAGGAAACCCAAAACGACCCCGAAACAGCGCCCGTTGGCGGTGATCTACGGCTAATAAATTAACGAAAGAATTGTTTTTGCTCCGTGCACGCGACATTTGTTATTCGAGCGATGCGGAAGACAGCAAACAGGGACACTCGAACGTCGAAACTGTACTTGGGCATCCCCCAGGCTCCACCAGACTTCCGGTTCTCGCGACAACGCGGATCTTTCACTGATATTTCACGCCACGGGGACAATTATTAACATCAAATCCCAGAATGATCTGAAACTTTTCAATTTTCAGTGGAACATACAGTTATAGTCAGACATTGTATTTTCAGTAATGAATTTTTTTCGCGAAAACGGTTAGGATTTCGGGGGTATGTCTATTCACCAAAAATACTTGTAATTGACCCCTACAATTAAATATAATTTTTCTAGTACGATTTGATATTTTTTAATTTCGACTGAAAATTTCAGTATCTTCTCGAATTTTTTTCTCGAAAGTGGGTAAGAATTCTGGGGTATGTCTATTCACCAAAAATACTTGTAATTGGCCCCTACAATTAAATATAATTTTTCTAGTACGATTTGATATTTTTTAATTTCGACTGAAAATTTCAGTATCTTCTCGAATTTTTTTCTCGATACTGAGTAGGATTTCGAAGGTACGCCTGATAATAAAGAATGTTTGTTATTACCCCCTGTAATTAAATATAATTTTTTTATTATGTTTTGAAATTTTGTAATTTCGTCTAAAAATTTCAGTAGCTACTCGAATTTTTTTCTCGAAAATCGTTAGGATTTCGGGGGTATGTCTATTCACGAAAAATGATTCTAATAGCCCCTACAATCGAGAATAATTTTTCCAGAATGATTCGAAGCTTTTCAATTTTCAGGGGAACATATACGATTACAGTCAGACATTGTATTTTCAGTAATGAATTTTTTTCGCGAAAATGGTTAGGATTTCGGGGGTATGTCTGATCACCAAAAATGATTGTTATTAACCCCCGCGATCGAAAATAATTTTTCCGTGAATGATTTGAAATTTTTTAATAACTTTTCAACGAAGCCTAAATCAACAAATTGATATTCTTGATTTTCCTCCTCTTTTCATTCTAAGCTACATAACCTAAACCTTGTCTCCACACTTATTTCTGTAATCTTGATAAAATTCACAAATTCTCTCCAAAATTTCCACATTAAAATTTCAACATTTTAACCCTAGAATTCATTTTTCTAGTATCATAGTGATAAATCCTGTCATCCAAATATGGCTGACGTGCCATATACGAAGGATTGCACACATGTAGTCATTGACCCAAGATATTAAAAATCTGTTTCAAAATGTCCCCAAGACATCAAAGACCTGCTCGTCGCGAAGACACGTTGCCCGACTTGATACCTCCTCGAGCCTCCTATTCCATAGCTGTGTCTGTTGACCTTATTCCGGAGGGGCGCCATTCGCAGCAGGTTTCGAAAGGCGAGGGCGTCTGGCGCGGCGTCGCGGATCCGCACAATGACACGAGTGCCGGGGGCCCTCTTCTGCTTGCAAAACGTGAAGCATGCACTCCTGACACCTCTTCGCGCTAAGGTCGCTCGTGTCGAGCAGTCGTCGCGAAGAAAGAGCAGAGAGAAGAGAGCAGGGACAGCTGCCAAGCACGGTTGAACGTCGAAGATCTCCATTTCTCTCGCCTTTCCCCCGAATAACTCGTAATTATGGCGCGTACCCCGAAATAGAATTTTCCAGGTTTCGTCTCGCGTCTGGGTCATTCAACGGGCCATTCCAACGGAGAAAGATTCATTTTCTCCACGGTGACATCTCCAGGAGTGAATTTCTTATCGACCATCCCCCCATTCCGCCATTCGTAGTCGTCTCTCGCGGAAGGCACCGTATAACGAACCCGGGGGGGGGGGACTAACGAAGTTTAAAACTATATTGCGACGAGTGTGCGTTGTAATTGAGTTCCCCGGGGGCTCGTTTGACGTTTGTGTTCTTAATGATCGTCCTATTTTCGCGCCGCGCGTCTTTAATCGTTTCAACGGGGACGAATGTCACGGAATATTTGACCTCCCGTTTTCCCTGCTTAATGGGGGCCCCTTGTATGTTAAATCCACCCTGAAGTGATGAAGTGTCGTAACAATTTGCTTTTTTTTGAAAGTAGGGAAATATATACAGTGTGTTTAATTGATTTAAGTGCAACAAACGAAAGGGGGGTGATTTTACATGGGGAAATTAAGTCTGAAATATGGAATAGAAATTATTATTGATCATTGTCTCGATTGAAGTTTATTTTTATGAACACTTCCAGTGTCATGGAATTGTTTATTAATTTAATTTGCAATAATAATAAGACATGGTTAGGTGCATGCATACTCAAAATTCAGAGTCGATTTTCTCGAAAACAGAGCCTCAAATGAAAAATTGTTACTCCACATTTTACCCTTATTTTTTCATATAGAATCATCCCCCTTTCTCTTGGAATTATTTATTAACTCAAACGTAAACTTAATTTGCAATAATAATAAGAAAAATTGTTATTCTATATTTTACCCTTTGTTTTTCATGTAAAATCACCCCCCTTTCTCTTGGAATTATTTATTAACTCAAACTTAAACTTAATTTGCAATAATAAGAAGACATGGTTAGGTGCATGCATACTCAAAATTCAGAGTCGATTTTCTCGAAAACAGAGCCTCAAATGAAAAATTGTTACTCCACATTTTACCCTTATTTTTTCATATAGAATCATCCCCCTTTCTCTTGGAATTATTTATTAACTCAAACGTAAACTTAATTTGCAATAATAATAAGAAAAATTGTTATTCTATATTTTACCCTTTGTTTTTCATGTAAAATCACCCCCCTTTCTCTTGGAATTATTTATTAACTCAAACTTAAACTTAATTTGCAATAATAAGAAGACATGGTTAGGTGCATGCATACTCAAAATTCAGAGTCGATTTTCTCGAAAACAGAGCCTCAAATGAAAAATTGTTATTCCACATTTTACCCTTATTTTTTCATATAGAATCATCCCCCTTTCTCTTGGAATTATTTATTAACTCAAACGTAAACTTAATTTGCAATAATAATAAGAAAAATTGTTATTCTATATTTTACCCTTTGTTTTTCATGTAAAATCACCCCCCTTTCTCTTGGAATTATTTATTAACTCAAACTTAAACTTAATTTGCAATAATAAGAAGACATGGTTAGGTGCATGCATACTCAAAATTCAGAGTCGATTTTCTCGAAAACAGAGCCTCAAATGAAAAATTGTTACTCCACATTTTACCCTTATTTTTTCATATAGAATCATCCCCCTTTCTCTTGGAATTATTTATTAACTCAAACGTAAACTTAATTTGCAATAATAATAAGAAAAATTGTTATTCTATATTTTACCCTTTGTTTTTCATGTAAAATCACCCCCCCTTTCTCTTGGAATTATTTATTAACTCAAACTTAAACTTAATTTGCAATAATAAGAAGACATGGTTAGGTGCATGCATACTCAAAATTCAGAGTCGATTTTCTCGAAAACAGAGCCTCAAATGAAAAATTGTTATTCCACATTTTACCCTTATTTTTTCATATAGAATCAACCCCCTTTCTCTTGGAATTATTTATTAACACAAACTTAAACTTAATTTGCAATAATAATAAGAAAAATTGTTATTCCATATTATACCCTTATTTTTTCACGTAAAATCACCCCCTTTTCTCTTGTACCCTCATTTACCAAACACCCTGTATTAAATACAATCGAATCACTATAAAGACGAATAAAATCAACAAAACTAAGATGGCGGGGAAATTTTTTCAGGACTCAAAAATTCGTATTATATACCTGAAAAGCAAGAAAGTCAATGATATCATAAATTTCAAGATCAATTCTCTGAAAAGAGAGTGAATATCATAAATTTAATTAATTTTACACGAATACACTGAACGAATAGGTTCAAAGAAATGATATCGCGATGATCTAACCTTGTTTCTTTTCTGTTGCAGAGAGACGCCCTTAATCTGGAGCCAAACAACGTGGCAAATTGCGTGTCCAAAGGGAAGTCGGAGGTGATTCAACTTTTCTATTTCATTATCGTATTTATCGCCCATGTTTTGTTCTCTCGAGGGAATTTTAATATCGAGGTTATTTTATTAATTTCATTCGAGCGTCGTTCTGATTAACGCCGCTGGAAACGGAAGCATAGAGGCGAATCTAAAATGGAGACGTCGCGAAAATGAGTCGAGGAAAACCATTAATAAAAATAGAAAAACTTCTACGCATATTAAAACTGTTAAAAAACGAAAGCAAGTATTTTAGTTCGATTTTCGACGATTACAATGGATTTTTTTCGAATCGAAAGCAACTGGTGCATTAAATTTCGTAACAGAACACAAGCTAAGAGTGAAATTTGGTGGATTTAATAAAGAAAGTTCGCTCGAAACTGTCTCTAATATTTGAAATAATAAAACTTAACCGAGGTACGCGCATATTTACTTTGCACTGCGCGAAATCAAAGTAATTTGAGTTAATTTGAAAGTACCGGTACTGCGGAGCCTTCGTTGCTCTTGTTATTCTTCGTTTTACGAATTCAATTCTCCTCCATTCTGTTCGCAGCACTTCGACTGCCGGAATCACATAAGAGTGATCCAGCCAATGAGGGACGGCAATCGGCTTTACATCTGCGGCACCAACGCTCATGCACCCAAGGATTGGGTGATCTATGTAAGTATAACGTATATTTGCTCTTCATTTTCAAAATAATGGGAAATAATGGGAAACCTTGAGTCGCGAGAAGTTTAGGAAAAAGTGGAAAAGCAATTGCTTCAGTTTTTTTGTGGTGCTACATTGTTTCGAACGAGAGCTACAGTGATTAAAATGAATTAATTAATATTCTGTTGCATAACAGACCCTCGAATATAGTAGTAATATAACACTCATAATTTGCATTATAACCTTACATTTTATTATATCAATCAATCTGAGTCTTCGTGCAAATAAACGTAACAACATTCGATATAGTCCAGAAAATAAAAAAATTGATATTTTTGAAAACAAAGCCTCGTATAACAAATTTCTATTAACAACTTTCTAATTTTACCTTCTTTTTTCTTTTGATTCTACTATGATTTTTTACACTATAACACGTTAAAAGATTATACAAAACTGATAATAGAAATAATTATTTTTGCATTTCGAATACTCGCCAACCTTTATTTCTCGAAATATTTAGTTATTTCGATTTTTTCACGCGACCTTTAGTGTTTTATCGGTTTAGTCGAAGCATTAATTTTTCACGCGGGATCTGTCGCGAATGCAATGGCGCGTAGTAGTTACGCAGCGGGGCAAATGAATCGTGCGTTCAAGCACCCGTGTAATGAAGTCAAAGAATATATTGGTCTCGCTTTGTCGAAGATTACGACTCCCGTGCGTGTAATAGAGTTTCGAACAGTAGCGTGAAGCTTTTGCGTAGAGACGCCATGTTCTAGCCCTAAATTTCCTATAAAAGGTTAATCGAAACAGGCTAAATGAACGTGTAATTTCATATTAAGGGAATAATACATGCATTTGTCTATATTTACAATTAAAAATGAAGCTTTAACCATGATTAAAGGGAAACTAATACGTGTGTTTTTCGTTTCGAGCTTCTGTACAGCGAAAGAAAGTATTTTAAGGTGAAAGAAAGACCTATTGTGTTAGTTTTGATACCAATTGTTATCGTTAAAATAAAGAAAAATTATAGAATAATCATTATCTTTTTTAAGAGTGTTTTTAGTTACATGAAATGATTATATTCATTACCAACCCTAGGAAAAATTTTAGTGGGAGATTCTAGAGGCCAAAATAAGACGAAAGTCAAGAATATCAATTTGTTGATGGAGGCTTCCTTAAAAAGTTATTAACGTTCAAAAGTTGTGGCTGTTGAACGGCAATTTGCCCACCTTCTCGAATTTTTTTCTCGAAAATGGTTAGGATTTCGGGGATGGGTCTATTCACCAAAAATGATTAGTATTGATTCTCGCAGCTAAAAATAATTTTTTTAGAACGATTTGAATTTTTTTGTTTTCGCCAAGTTTCATATCTTCTCGAATTTTTTTCTCGAAAGTGGATAAGATTTCAGGGTTAGGTCTATTCACCAAAAGTTATTGTAACTGACTCCCGCAGTCGAAAATATTTTTTTTAGAATGATTTGAAATATTTTAATTTCGCCGAAAAATATGTCTACATATTCGAATTTTTTTCTCGAAATTGCGTAGGATTTCAGGGGTAGACGTAATGACCAAAAATAATTCCAATTAACCTCCGCATCCGAGAACAATTTATCCACGATGATTTGAAATATTTTAATTTCGCCGAAAAATATGCCTACTTATTCTAATTTTTTTCTCGAAATTGCGTAGGATTTCAGGGATAGGTGTAATTACCAAAAATGATTGTAATTGACCTCTGCATCCGAAAATAATTTTTTTCAGAATTATTTGAAACTTCTCAATTTTCAGGGAAAGAGACAGGTGATATGGTCAGACATAGTTTCAGTAATGAATTTTTTACTCTAAAATGCGTAGGATTTCGGGGGTAGGTCTACTCACCAAAAATGCTTGTAATAGACCCCTACAACTAAATATAATTTTTCTAGTATGATTTGAAACTTTTCAATTTTCAGGGAAACAAACACAATTATAGTCAGACATATTTTCAGTAATGAATTTTTTTCTCTAAAATGCGTAGGATTTCGGGGGTAGGTCTATTCACCAAAAATGCTTGCAATTGACCCCTGCAACTAAAAATAATTTTTCCAGAACGATTTAAAATTTTTTAATGAAGCCTCTAGAATCTCCCATTAAAATCTTTCCCAGGGGTGTATATTTTGTAAATTTCTCTGACAAGCTACAATATAAATTGAATTATTGTCTCACAATCGTTTATGACATGACTGGTTCAGACACTTGTTCCTTGAGATCTAAGAATTGCATTATTTTTGTGAAAATAGTTGCCTTTAAAGAACGTTCCTCAAAATTATGCAACTTGGATAATTTGTAGCTTTTCCAAGGGTCTTTCTTTCAGCTCTTTCTTTCTTTTTGCAATAGAAATATTGTCATTGTTAAACGTTTAAAGTATCAACCACCTAAGTTTGGACTAACGTTGCATGTTTTCTGTTTTCCAGAGCAACCTGACTCATTTGCCACGCCATGAGTTCGTCCCAGGCGTCGGCCAGGGCATAGCAAAGTGTCCCTACGACCCCGCGGACAATTCTACGGCGGTCTGGGTGGAAAAGGGCAATCCTGGTAACCTGCCAGCGCTTTATTCCGGCACCAATGCCGAATTCACCAAGGCCGATACCGTGATCTTCCGCACGGATCTCTACAATCTAACTACCGGTCACAAGGAGTTCAGTTTCAAGAGGACGCTCAAGTACGACTCGAAATGGCTGGACAGTGAGTACCTACTTCCAATCCAGTAATTTCTTCCTCTCAGTCTCGAGCCAATATCCTCGAATCATCGTCAATAATACTTTAAATTCGAAACCACTAACTATCCCCATTTCGAGATACAAATTGTCCTCAAGAAAAATCTTGGATGCAAAAGCAATAGAAAATTTATTGACACAAATACGACTCTTCAGGGTCAAGAAAAAAGAGTTAAAAATGCCACTTATTGTGGTACAAAAGTAACATAAATAAAATTCGTTATTTTGTTGACTTGAGCCACTAAATATGTAGATAATTAAGGGATGAAAATCGTGTCTGGGATTTCTGATAGGCATGGTAAATATTTTTAGCGATTATTCATCATTTATTAGGCGAGACAGAGAGAAAGAACGTTTATAGTTGGAACAAATTTTATTTCGTTTTATTATACAATAAATTTTATAATGAGAAAGAGACTAACAATTTACAATATCGTGGAACTTGAAAAATGAACAATATCAAAACTCTGAATAACTTAAAATTAATGTATATATAGCAACCTAGAGGTGAGTTCATCGAGCGCTTGTGAGAGCGTGGATCCCTCTGGCGGCGAGTATATGAAGCTCCGCCCACAGTTTCTTTCCTCATATTTGGCTGTTTCTTGAAATGAAAATACACACAATGGTTCTGTCCAATTATTTTCGTAATTTCGTGGAAATCTAGAAGGTTAAGTTTATAATTACACGGAGCACTGTAATTATCAGTTTTTGTAACACTTGTCTTTCACGTTGTCTTTTCTCAGTTCCTCGTTTGACAGCCTGAAAAGCAACACAGTAATTCCCAGATAGTATGTTAAGGGAGATTCGTCATCAATTCGCGAAAAGCTGCGTCAGCTTTCGAAAGGTTCTCGTTAAGGTGTGCCCGACAAAGAAATTTTCATTAGAATCCGACTGGGGATTTCGAAAGAGCGAAGGGGAAAAGGCCTTCTCGTTACACGGCGAGGCTCTTTGAGCTCGAACATTGCAAGAAACACGTACCTCGCTTAAATAGTTGCGTATAAAGCCTGTTTTCCCCCCGCTCGAGGGGGGGGCAAAGGACTGACAGTTCCGTCATTGAGCGTGTCGGAGGGGTTTTCCACAGAAAACGCGGAACGTTCCGCGCAAAGAAGCCTGTTCGTGGTGTGGGGGGGAAGATAGAAAGCGGTTCTCGGAAGGGCAACGCGTAGTCGAGCTTCGGAGAGGGTGGTCTAAGAACCGAGGAGTAATAAAATAACACCGGGGCCACGATTTCGCCCGACTAAATGCTCCGTCCATGGCGAAAAGGGAAAAGGGTCGGGAAAGTCGAAGTTTTTCGCGTTGGCGTGCAATTAGTTAACTAACAAACTAACAAACTAACAAACTAAGAACCTAAGAAACTAACAAACTAACAAACTAATTGCACGTCACGAAAGCGAAAAGAGTGAAACCGAGGGAGGTACGTCGACCCTCTGCTTAGTATCTTCCCCCTAACTCGCTGGATGCATGATTAGCCGTTTGTTTCGTCGTTTAATTCGAAGGCGGCGCCCTCTCCACCCTTTCCTCCGTCCCAACTCCTCCATTGCCTGCGCTTCCCAACTCGGGACGTTACCATCAAGTTTCAGGGCACCCATCGAGTTTGTCTATTAACAGAGGGCGTTGATTAAATGCACCCAGAGACCTCCCAGAGACGAATAGGTCCACGTGCTGCCCTCTCTATCACTCTCTGTCTCTTTTTTTAGTGAGCAAAGTATGGTGCAATGAAGATCGATGAGATTTGCGGGATAAAGGATCCCGAGAAGAGAGGACTAGGCACACGGGGGGGGGGGCAAGATGGAGGGGGGAAACGGCTGGTGGATGAAGCTTAACAAGCGCTTGAATAACCCACTGACGACCGTCCACTTTCACGGATCCTTGCGCCTGTCAAATGACGCTCAGGCGTTCCTCGCTCATTTGTTTCCTTCCCCGAGCGTTCTGAAAGCTCCGTCGTCTCTCCTTTTTCCTGGAGAATGCGTGGAATCTAGTCAACTCCTCGACTCACAGTTATTTTAATCCATAGAACCATTTCCCAGCCCGTTTATTAAAACATTACCTCTCATACTCGCCGCTAGAGGGCTAGCGTTCTCACAAGCGCTCCACCTCTATTGCGTTCGTTGCTCAAATGGCTTCCCAATACCCCCAGTCGTCTAAAACCTCTCCTTTTCTGTCCTTTCACGAAATTCTTACGAGATTCTACCCTCAGCCACAGTTTCTCCATGTTCTTCCTCAGTCCCCAGGCACATATAGCGTCAAAAGCGAAGACTAGGCGACAAGTCTAATTGAGTATACGCTATACTCGACTGTCTCTCAGTTTTCCACGGAAAAAGATTGACAGGGTCAATTTACGGATCCCGCGGAGACGTCGTTTGGGAAGTTTCGGGGGACGAATATTAACCAGTCAGTAATTCGGCGTATTTATTAATGTGTTGTCTCTAAACGCGAGGGACACGCCGGAAAATAGAATTTCCTATCCCGGGGCACGCTGACTTGTAAACTTTATGAAACTAGCCCCAAGGGTGATTTCATTATTCCTCTTCCGCGCGAAATCGAGAGTTCGTTTGGGAGCAGTGTTTCGCCCCCGACGAGACCGACCGCCCAATCAAAACTCGTCGTTCGCCCGGTGTTTCTCTCTCCCGGAATCGAGACATTTCCTTTTCTTGTCCTCCCCCGTGACGTTTCCAACCCCCTCCGCGTTGCGCATCGATATATCAAACTTCCAACGGCGGGAGCGTCGGACGATCGATTTAATCGGTGAACTGTGAAAGAGATTGCGGGCCTCCGCATAATGTGAAATCGACAGTCTGTACCGACGGCGCGTTTTAAACGCGGACGAAATTCGATTTCCGGGTCGGCGTCGCCTCATCGCGTCGTTGTTCTTCTCGCGACGCATCGATAAACATGGTCACGCCGACAATCAGAAGTCGTGGTTGGCTCCCATAGAGTTCGTGAACTCGATTATTTAGCAAATAAAGAGAAAACAACACTTATTTACCAAGAAAATAATTTATTAACAATTTGAATATTCAGGATGTTTGATCATTCCTGGAAAAATTTTAACGATAGATTCTAGGGGCCAAAATAAGGCGAAAATCAAGGATAGTAATTTGTTGATTGAGGCTTCGTTGAAAAGTTATTAACGTTCAAAGTTGTGGCTGTCGAACTGCAATTTGTCCACATTCTCGATTTTTTTTCTCGAAAATGGTTAGGATTTCGGGGGTATGTCTAATCACCAAAAATGATTAGTATTGATTCTCGCAGCTAAAAATAATTTTTTTAGAACGATTTGAAATTTTTATTTTTCGCCGAATTTAGGCACCTCGATTTTTCTTAAGAATTCGTTTTTCATTTTTAGTCATTTTGTTTGACGCCCTATAAAAAAGTTGTTTAATACATTTTTGTAGGTACCCATGAGCTCTACTTCGGAAAAAAGTTTCATTGAAATATATTCACTATTGTAGGAGTTATGGCTGTTTGAAAATTGGACCATTTTTATGGGGTTTTTCTAACTTTACGGGGTCAAGGAACAACTTTTTCAGTATTATTAGAATTCCTACATATTCTTCTCCAAAATACGCGTTGTTTGCCGCTTGAAACATTAAAATCGGCCAATCCGTTCAGAGGTTATGGTATTTTAAATATTTGCATGAAATTTTCAGGCAACATAAATTACATTTTTGATTAGGAATTTTTTTCTCGAAAGTGGATAGGATTTCGGGGGTATGTCTATTCACCAAAAGTGATTGTAATTGACCCCTGCAACTAAATATAATTTTTTTAGTGTGATTTGAAATTTTTTAATTTCGTCTATAAATTTCAGTACCTACTCGAATTTTTTTCTCGAAAGTGGGTAGGATTTCGGGGGTATATGTAATGACCAAAAATGATTGTAATTAACCCCCATAAGCGGACATAATTTTTCCAGAACGATTAGAAATTTTTTTTTTCGGTCGAAAAATTTCACGACTTCTCGAATTTTTTTTCTGGAAAATGGGTAGGATTTCGTGGATATGTCTAATGACCAAAAATGATTGTAATTGACCCCTGCAACTGAGAATAATTTTTTTAGAACGATTTGATATTTTTATTTTTCGTCGAAAAATTTCAGCGATCTACTACCCCCTGTTGATGTTCCTTGGAAATTCGTTTTTGATTTTTAATAAATTTGCTTGACGTCCTACGGAAATTTCGTTCAGTACTTTTTTGTAGGTATCCATGAGTTCTAGTTTCATACTAAATTTCATTGAGATACGTTCACTATAGTAGAAGTTACGGACATTTGAAGATTGAGCCCTTCGAACTTTACAGTGTTAAGGAATAACTTTAAACATATTCTTGGAATTTCTACATATTCTTCGCTAAAATACGCGTTGCTTGCCTTCTGAAACATTAAAATTCTCCAATGTGTTCAGAAGTTATGATATTTTAAACATTTGCATGAAATTTTGACGAATTTCTGGTCAGAAATTATATTTTCGGTAAGGAATTTTTTCCTCGAAAATGCGTAGTATTTCGGGGATGTCTCTGTTCACCAAAAATGATTGTAACTAACCCCCACAACTAAATATAATTTTTTTAGTATGATTTGAAATTTTTTAATTTCGTCTATAAATTTCAGTACATACTCGATTTTTTTTCTCGAAAATGGGTAGGATTTCAGGGGTATGTGTAATGACCAAAAATGATTGTAATTGACCCCCACGACCGAACATAATTTTTTTAATATGATTTGAAATTTTTCTTTTTCGCTAAAAAATTTCAGCACCTATCCGATTTTTTTTCTCGAAAATGGGTAGGATTTGAGGGGTATGTGTAATGACCAAAAATGATTGTAATTAACCCCTCTAACTAAATATATTTTTTTTAGTATGATTTGAAATTTATGAATTTATCTCCCATTAAAATTTTTCTCAGGGGTTATGGAACACCCTGTATATCGTTTCAATTTCGATGGATACAACTAAATACACTATAATTGTCGCTAGTTGTACCAAAAAAGAAATGTAACGACATTTCTTCGATCCAGAAACGAGTAATCGCGCGGTAAAATTTTGGTTTCCCGCAGCCATCGAAACTCATGAATTATCGATGCCCCGGCGATCATAACGAGCGAACCGTTAAGCGGTTTTACGATCACGGATCGTAAAAACGTCAAGTGGGATGCTCGTTAAGTATGCGTTCGAACTTCGACGCTTCGCCGCTGCTAAATGAAAACTAGAAAAGTCGTTTCTCTTCCATCGAGCGCGAAACTTACTTTCCTAACGCGTGGGGGGGTTCCCCGGAACGTCTGTTTTATAGTTTTTCTCCATTGTTCCGGGGATCCTTCGAATCTCGGAAGTTTTTCGGGAGTTCCGACGATCGTTCTACCGACTCGTAACCCTTCCGCGTTATTTCTTCGAGTTCGACTTTTGTTTTCCTAACGAGCGCCCCCCCGCGGCGTTGCGAAAAGCTTCCTGGCATATCGAAGCGTCGATGTTACGGAAGACAAACTTTCCTCGCTACAAAGTACAAAACATCTCAAGAACGTTCACTGAATTTCTATTACTGTAATTTCGTTGGTCGTCCATTTTTATCTGCCGCCATATTAAATGTTTTATTCGAAAACAAATACGATTAAAATGGATCTTGTTAATTCTTTCGTGTGTAAAATAATCATTCCCATGAACAAGCTCTTTTGTATTTGTTTAAATTGTTCAGATTATTCAGATTTTCAGAATTTCGTGAACGAAGAATTGTTGAACGAATATCAAACTGACACGTGGAAAGAAGAATTCAGAGTTCATCAGTTTCTATAATTATAATACGCCCCCCTCTTTATTTTCACTTAAAATACATTAAAAAGTGAAGTTTGAATTGAAAAGTCACCTTGCTTTGTTTGATGACACGGTAGTATGATGAAAATGGCCAAAGTCAGCTTTCGAAGTCACGTATACGTGACAGCGGCCATCAAAGTGTTAAATTCCGCTTCTGCCTCCATTTTAACCCCATCTGAATTCTATTTATTCATTTAATTTGAACGCGACAATAAAGCTCAGACTTCCAAAATAATTTTTCTCTATTTCAAGCATTCGCTTTTCTATGTTTATCACAGTTTATTTGTTGAAACTACAAAGTCTACAGAGATCACTTTTATCAACTTTCCACGATTTATATTTCGTAATTGCATCCACGTTTTCCGCGAATTTTCCGCCGTGTATCGAATACGATTAAATCTCGACGAGGAAAATGTTATTCCATCCGGAAACAATATTCAAATGATATTTCCTCGCGAAAAAAAATGCAATAACGATCAAGGGAAATTCGCTGATTAAACTCTCCGGTTTGCTCCGCGCTATTTCTTTCGATGGGAAATCCAAAATTACAGAATCCCCCGGGACCCAACCGATCTTTTTCTCTGTTTTCGTCAGCTAGGGGAATGCTTTCGTCGACACGGTGTTGATTTTTAGCCGAGCTAAAAGACCGCGGGGAGCCTTGGCCGAGGGATTTGCATCTTAATTTGCTTGATTGTGTTTAAAGAGCAAATCGGTACGCGGGAAATCTTCGCGCGGAATTTCTCTCGGCGTGGAATCTTACCGTAGTTTCCCATTAAAATTGCTGTTTTCCCTGGATACGACACGGAGTTTAATTTTATTTTTACTCGCGACTTGATATTTCCATAAATCTTACCCGGCTATTTATGGATTTCCGGAGAGAAATATTGTTTTAATCCCTTTGAGGAGGAATTGTACGAATGGTGGTTCGTTCATTTTAAGAATCATTACTTGTACATGCTCTTCAGACACCCATGGGAAAAATAGAAAGAAAACAACACTTATTTGGCGATACAATAATTTATTAACAATTTGAATATTCTGGTTCGGTCAATCTTGGGAAAAAATTATAGTGGGAGATTCTAGGGGCCAAAATAAGGCGAAAATAAAGGATAGTAATTTTTTGATTGAGGCTTCGTTGAAAAGTTATTAACGGTCAAAGTTTGTGGCTGTCGAACTGCAATTTGTCCTCCTTCTTGAATTTTTTTCTCGAAAATGGTTAGGATTTCGGGGGTATGTCTAATCACCAAAAATGATTAGTATTGATTCTCGCAGCTAAAAATAATTTTTTTAGAACGATTTGAAATTTTTTATTTTCGCCGACAAGTTGTCCACCTTTTTGAATTTTTTTCTCGAAAATGGTTAGGATTTCGGGGGTATGCTTATTCACCAAAAATGCTTATAATTGATCCCTACAACTAAATTTAATTTTTTTAGTATGATTTGAAATTTTTTGATTTCACCTAAAAGTTTCAGTACCTACTCGAATTTTTTTCTCGAAAGTGGATAGGATTACGGGGGTATGTCTATTCACCAAAAATGATGGTAATTGACACCCCCAATCAAAAATAATTTTTTCAGTATGATTCGAATTTTTTTTTTCCCCGAAAAATTTAGGCACCTGTCGATTTTTCTTAAATATTAGTTTTTCATTTTTAATAAATTTGTTTGACGTTCTACGGAAGTGTTGTTTAATACTTTATTGTAGGTGCCCATAAATTCTACTTCCCCCCAGAATTTCATTGAAATATATTCACTATTATTGATTTAGTAGATTTTGAGTTAACCCAAAACGAAAATACAGATAAAAAGTGTGTAATTCGGTACAGATGTCTTATAAACAAACTGTACACCCAATTGTGAGCAAATGCTACTTAAAAAGTTACTATTTTATTTATATATACGATTAAGACTTTATTAAATTTAAGAATTATTTGAAGCTGATTTTTCTTTTTGTCTGTTTCAGAGCCGAATTTCGTGGGATCTTACGACATCGGCATCCACGTTTTCTTCTTCTTCCGCGAGACCGCGGTGGAATACATAAACTGTGGCAAAAGCGTGTATTCCCGCGTGGCCAGAGTTTGCAAAAGGGACACCGGCGGCAAGAACATTCTGTCTCAAAATTGGTCGACTTATCTGAAAGCTAGGTTGAACTGCTCTATACCTGGCGAATTTCCCTTCTACTTCAACGAAATACGTAAGCAACGCTCAATCCCTTTAATAATTTCTGCTTAAAATTATACAGAATACCTCTTCTCAATTGTACTGTCGATTCTGGGGCACCCTGTATATTAAATCATATTTTATAAATTGCAACAGGGCATTCATAGACTCCCCAAACGAGATTTCGACTTTCAAAAAAAAAAAATAATTCCAATTTAAATAATGACACTGAATATCAATATGACTATCAGTGTCATTACACTAACAAATATTGTTGCAAGTATTCCTATAATGCAATGTTAACACTTTACCGACCGGTAGCGGTTGATTAATCGGCTATCGGTCGGTAAGCGTTGGTCGGTAAAACAGTCGATTAATACGCTATCGGTCGGTAAGTTGTTGGCCGGTAAAACAGTCGATTAATAGGCTATCGGTCGGTAATGTGTTAAAGTAACAACGATCGAATTTACGTTGTTTTCCAGAGAGCATTTACAAGGTGCCAGGTGACGACACTCACTTTTACGGAACGTTCACCACATCGACAAACGGGCTAATGGGCTCGGCGATCTGCTCGTTCCACATCGACGCGATCCAGGAAGCGTTCCGTGGAAAATTCAAAGAACAAGCGACGAGCAGCAGCGCCTGGCTTCCGGCACTCTCGAACAAAGTTCCTGATCCGCGTCCTGGCCAGTGCGTGAACGACACAGAGACTTTCCCGGACACCGTTCTGAACTTCATTCGGTCCCACCCCCTAATGGACTCCGCCATATCTCACGAAAACGAGAAACCAGTATTCTACAAGCGGGACGTAATGCTCACACGATTGGTCGTCGATAAACTGCGCATCGATTTCGTTGGCCTCGACTTGGACTACACGGTCTACTACGCTGGCTCCAGTAAGTACACATAACCTTAAAAAACGTTTCTAAAGTGACAATATTAGCCCACAATTCAAGTTTCATTCATTGCAAATGGACTGTGGATGTTCAGCATTTATGGGGAAATTATAATTCTCAAAGTTAAAACTTAAAGTGAGATATAAATTATTATATTTAGAGGTTCAGATAATCCTCCAAAAAGCTCCCATTTCTTTAATTCTGTTATTAAAATATGAATTTGCATAATAATTCACAGTCGGATGATAGCACAAATTGAATTTAGGTTTAGAAATTTTAATGGGGGATTCTAGAGGCCAAAATAAGACGAAAATCAAGAATATTGATTTCTCGACTAAGGCTTCGTTAAAAAGTTATTAACGTTCAAAGTTGTGGCTGTCGAACTGCAATTTGTCCACCTATTCGAATTTTTTTCTCGAAAATGGTTAGGATTTTGGGGGTATGTCTAATAACAAAAAATGATCGTAATTCATCCCCCAATCAACACTAATTTTTCCAGAATGATTTGAAGCTTTTCAATTTTCATTAAATTTTAAATTAAAAATTTTCAAATCATTCTGACAAAATTAGTTTAGATTGGGGGGTCAATCAGAATCATTTTTTGTTAACAGACATACCCCCGAAATCCTAACCATTTTCGAGTAAAAAATTCATTACTGAAAACATGTCTGACCATATCATCTGTCTGTTTCCCTGAAAATTGAAAAGCTTCAAATAATTCTGGAAAAATTATTTTCGATTCTAGGGGCTATTAGAATCATTTTTCGTGAATAGACATACCCCCGAATTCCTAACCATTTTCGAGAAAAAAAATCGAGTAGGTGGACAAATTGCAGTTCGACAGCCACAACTTTGAACGTTAATAACTTTTTAACAAAGCCTCAACCAACAAATTGGTATTCTTGATTTTCGTCTTATTTTGGCCTCTAGAATACATACAAATAAAATCTAAATTATAGGAATTCATATATTTTGATGGGAAAAAGAATATTTTATTTTTAGAAGTCACATCGCAAAATTGTAATTGGTATTGCTTTTGTTCGTATTAATAAAGACTCTGAAGAGTGCAAAAGACGATTTATACATGAATATTGTTTCTTTATTCGTTCATGATCGAGTAGACAAAATGACCAGCGATGACTATATCGCTGTCACGTGAATTGTCTGGAACGATAGTTTGCAAAAGCAACGTTTCTCCGTGTTACAGGCGACGGACGCGTACACAAGATCGTTCAATGGACGGACAACAACGGGGATTCCCAGTCCATCCTCTTGGACGTGTTTGACGTGACGCCTGGCGAACCGATCCAAGCGATGGAAATCTCCAAGGAGCACAAGGCTCTTTACGTCGCGTCCGATCATCGAATAAAGCAGATCGATCTAGTGATGTGCACTCGTAGATACGACAACTGCCTCCGCTGTGTTCACGATCCTTATTGTGGATGGGACAAGGACACCAACACTTGCAAGCCTTACGAGCCTGGGTAAGCACACAAATAATATTTTTAGCACCCCCTCTTTCCCTTTTCTCTCCTTTTATGAAAATCTCCTAGTTCCTAGCCATAGCAAAGCATAGCAGAGCCACAATTTTAATGCATGAGACTCAAAGATGAGAGTAGTCTCCTTATTGGAAAGCTAGGCACCAAGAACTTATGACTACTCAAGAGTTATCATTGTACAGGAAGGGGTTAATAGTGAAATTTGTATTCGTTACTGTGTGAGGATATAGAGGGAAGAGGATGTTGTCAGGAATCCGAAAATAAACCACTTCTCACTCTTAATAACTGCGATATATTTAAATAAACTGAGTACACTAGTAGGTGAGACAATCCTCATCAAAGTCTTTGCTGTATTTTTGCTATCTGGCCATGAGGCTCGTTGTTCCATGACCTGGTCTGCTTGGTCTAGCCATCCCCTCTTCCAGAAACCCAGTAGTCCAGTGGTTAATGGATATTTAGACCCTGGTGGTGGTATTTGTTCATTTTTCCAGGCTTCTCCAGGACGTATCGAACAGCACAGCCGACGTTTGCGACAGCAGCGTGGGTAAACGGAAGCTGGTCGTCACTTGGGGCCAGTCGGTGCATCTGGGCTGTTTCGTGAAGATGCCCGAGGTGTTGGCGAACCAGGAAGTCAGGTGGTACCACTACAGCAAAGAGAAGGGCAGGTATCAGATAGCTTACAAGTACGGAGCCGGAGGGGACAAGTTCATCGAGACGTCCGAGAAGGGTCTTGTCATCGTGGGAGTGAACGAGCAAGATGCTGGGAGGTACGATTGCTGGCTAGGTGGTTCCCTTCTGTGCTCCTACAACATCACCGTCGACGCGCACAGATGCTCCGCGCCCGCCAAGTCGAACGACTATCAGAAGATATACTCGGACTGGTGCCACGAATTCGAGAAATACAAGTCCGCCATGAAGAGCTGGGAGAGAAAGCAAGCGGTGAGTTATAAATAATTATTATTTATTATAGGCGACCATTCGATAATGGCGGACACTTTACTCCAGGAAAATTTATCGCATGATGATTCGTTTATGTTTGACACGTTGACTGTCGTGGGGGTCACCGGTGACCGGCAACTCGATTTGGCTGCAACGCCTTGGGGGTCACCGGTGACCGGCATGTCGATTAAGAGCTTCAAGGCCGTGGGGGTCACCGGTGACCGACACTCCAATTTGATTACTACGTCGTGGGGGTCACCGGTGACCGACACTCCAATTTGATTACTACGTCGTGGGGGTCACCGGTGACCTACACTCGTCTTAGCTACAACGCCTTGGGGGTCACCGGTGACCGACACTCGACTTTGTTACATACAATGCCATGGAGGTCACCGGTGACCGTCACTAGACTTAGCTACAAGGCTTTGGAGGTCACCGGTGACCGACACTCGACTTTGTTACATACAATGCCATGGAGGTCACCGGTGACCGACACTCGACTTAGCTGCAACGTCGTGGGGGTCACCGGTGACCGTCGACGCAACCAACAGTAAAAATACACATCACCATGTTGAAACCACGTAAAATGGACGCGACAGTCAACGTGTTATTAAAATTCTCTGCTCAAGAATGACCATAGTAGCCCCATAAACCGTAAAGCAAACGTCTACCTGACGCCACCCAAGTCCTGAAACGTTCTGTCCAAGTCTAAAACGTACTGTCCAAGTCCTGAAACGTTCTGTTCACGTGGAATTGAGTCTATGGTCTTGCTTGAGGATCCCCGTCGTTTGTCTCTGTTTTAGCAATGCGCCTCGAGGCAAAACGACAGCAACCAGAACCTGCATATGAACGAGGTGTACGGTACACCTTTAGTCTGATGGAGCCGATCGTTGGAGCCCTCGTCGAGTCGAGACCCCGACACACCGCGTAGAAGCGTCCTGGCGAAGAATCGAGGTCCATCCACGATCAGTTGTAGGAGCCTCACTCTCCTTCTGACCGGTTACACCACTGCCTTCATCCACCTCGACGGGCTCTCGACCAAGTGAGATCGATACGCGAAACACGTCCGCGCCAGTAACCGACAAACCGTCCTTGATCGGTTGAATCTTGAATGAACATTCGATCTCGCGTGTGCCGGAACCAATCAAACGACGATCCTGGCCAACACACATAATCATTGCATAGAAACGGCCGCCACCTAGCGACGGTATTCTTCTATTCCGCGTGACAGTGCGCGTAAAGTCGAGGACTCGCGCGGATCTGGTCTCGTTTCCGGCGCTTTTTACTCCTGTAAATAGACGCGCGACGCGTTCGTGACCACGTCCGATGGAAAAGTGCGCTTAAAACGACTCGACGAACCCACAGTTCCGTATTTAACGTCCGGCAAACGCAACGATCAGTTTCGAAGATTCGCGGGGAACTCTTCCACCCTCCGACCTTGCCTCTATCGAGGTGTTCGAGCGCTTCTGTGTCAGCGTTCGATGAAAGTAGCGACGAGATTCGAGACAGTGGGGTATCTTGTTCCTGAGATCCCTCCATCCCCCTAGCCAACTTGATTCTTTCACTCGCCGAACAATAAGCATATCGACGGCTGAGTCTGTTCCAAGGACTTGTTCGAAACGCCGCTCCAGGGGGCTGGCGGATGCATTTAGAAACCGGAAATGAATTCTCCCGTTTGTTGTTTTTTCTTTTCTTAGATCTGTGATACGAACGACGAGACGAGACTCTCGAGCGAACGTGTTCTCGGTTGGCCGCTCGATCGAGCGTCCCAGGCAACAAGGAGCAAAGAAGACTAAAGTGGGAGGGGAAATATACATGTACGGTCGAGCTTCAAGCGTAGTTTTAACGAGCCCGGAGAACGACTTAATTGGAAGACTGTGTGTGTATGGTAATATTGATTCGCCGGGCGGATGAGAATGCTGTTCTCGCGAACGTCACGCAGGTTACACATGAGATTATTATCGGCTATGGTCGCGACCTCCTCGCGACTCTTTGGCTTTCTTAGCTTTTTCTTAATCACGTCGCCAGTTTCATGCACCACCGTTTGTCTTCTCGACTCGCGCGATTCCTTTCGTTCGTTTTCAACCCAATTATTCTTTTTACGCGTAGACACACGGATCGACGCTTCTGTTCCTCACAATTAGGGTTAGAGGATCGCGATGTTACGTTGGAACGTCTTCGAAGTGCCATAATACGCTGAACTTCGCGAATTAGCTTCGATTTGTAGACTCGGTTTATGGAGACCAAACTGTGGTACCATTTTGCATTGTGGGTGGTAGCTGTGTGTTTTTGGGGGATCAGTGATTGTATCTAATAGATGAAGATTCAAATATGGTAGATTTCGTGGTCGTGAGTGAGATTCTCCCTGTTTCTTCTTCGTGTTTAGTTTTAATATGGTACTTGAGAATTTTAGCGAATGTTACGTTCTTTTTGCTTGGACCAAACTGTAGCTGTGCAGCTGTATGAAGATAACAGATACTAACAGCATGTCTTGCTTCTACTATACAGGGTAAGTCACCGTAATATGACAATATTAATCTGTTTTGTGGTATTTTGTTCTTTTATCGAGATTTGAGGGCCATTTTCAGTGTTTTCAGTGTGTGATTTACTGTATCAGTCACCATTTTTATTATATATTCAATTTATTACGTTTGTTGAGCATCTTTGTGTATCTCACTTTGGTCTACAATGGCCATTATGCAACAAATAATTGTTGAGTTATTTGATTTCATACGTTGACATAATTAAATTTTTAGCATTTTCGTTTATTAACTTGAAACAAAGAATTAAATATATAAAAAATAATATGCATAGATAACTTCTCTTTTTTGAGTGGCTACTTAACTTTGAAAGGTTTGAGAAGAGACATCCAATTTATTTTTAGACCTAACCCAGACCTAACCCATACCTAACTCAGATCTAATCCAGACCTAACCCATACCTAATTCAGCCCTAATCCAGACCTAACCCAGACCTAACTCAGATCTAATCCAGACCTAACCCAGACCTAACCCATACCTAATTCAGTCCTAATCCAGACCTAACCCAGACCTAACCCAGAACTTAGATCTGGGTTAGGTCTGGGTTAGGACTGGATTAGATCTGAGTTAGATCTGGGTTAGGTCTGGATTAGATATAAGTTAGATCTGGGTTAGGTCTGGATTAGATCTGAGTTAGATCTGGGTTAGGTCTGGATTAGATATAAGTTAGATCTGGGTTAGGTCTGGTTTAGATCTGAGTTAGATCTGGGTTAGGTCTGGATTAGATCTGAGTTAGGTCTGGGTTAGGTCTGGATTAGATCTGAGTTAGGTCTGGGTTAGGTCTGGATTAGATATAAGTTAGGTCTGGGTTAGGTCTGGGTTAGGTCTGGGTTAGGTCTGGATTAGATCTGAGTTAGGTCTGGGTTAGGTCTGGGTTAGGTCTGGGTTAACTTTGGGTTAGGTCTGGGTTCTAATCCAGACCTAACCCAGACCTAACTCAGATCTAATCCAGACCTAACCCAGATCTAACTCAGATCTAATCCAGACCTAACCCAGACCCAACCCAGACCTAACCCAGACCTAACTTATATCTAATCCAGACCTAACCCAGACCTAACTCAGATCTAATCCAGACCTAACCCAGATCTAACTCAGATCTAATCCAGACCTAACCCAGACCTAACTCAGATCTAACTCAGATCTAATCCAGACCTAACCCAGATCTAGGGCCTGAGTTAGATCTGAGTTAGATCTGGGTTAGGTCTGGATTAGTTAATAATCCAAATTATCTTAACCCTTTGCACTCCTATGACCTACAACAGCCATTTTTAAAAATATCACACTAACCCAGACCTAACCCAGACCTACATCAGCCATTTTTAAAAATATCACACTTAGAAAATTCATTCACACTTAGGTCAAGATTCTAATTACAATTAGAATGGAAAGATGTCCAATTTATTTTTAATTCCAACTTTTTTCTGCATTAAGAGACCTGACCACAACAGCCATTTTTAACATTGTTAACATTTTCTCGTGCAACAAATATTTGTTGAGTTATTTGAAATTAAATTTCTGCCATTCTCGTTTAATAACTTGAAAGCAAAGAAAGAATTAAATATATAAAAAATAATATGCATAGATAACTTCTCTTTAGCGAGAAGCCACTCAACCTCGAAAAATGTCCAATTTATTTTTAATTCCAACTTTTTTCTGCATTAAGAGACCTGCCCATAACAGCCATTTTTTAAAATATTACACTTGGAGAATTCATATCGAAGGACCACATAGGTCAAGATTCTAATTACAATTAAAATAGAAAGATGTCCAATTTATTTTTAATTCCAACTTTTTTGTGCATTAAGAGACCTGACCACAACAGCCATTTTTAATAATATTACACTTGGAGAATTCATATCGAAGGACCACGTGGGTCAAGATTCTAATTACAATTTAGAAAATCATGTAATTTGAAAATCTCAATTCGAATCGTTCCAACCTGCGTTCCATTAATTGCTCTTCTCAAGTCGCGATTTCCTTCGAAGGCGTTACCACGCGTATCGCTGCGATCGAGCTCTAATTCGCGAAACGTCACAACTAGATACAGATTAACCACCCTGTAGATAACACGCAGGTGAATCGGTAAAGCCTGCAATCCTGAAGTCCATTTTCTAGCGAATTCGTTCTCTCTTCGACTCGGATATCCTTTTTCAAATGGGTACCTCTGAGCCTAGAATTAGAGTAGTCCTCGTTTGCTGGATCGTTTCAGGTCTCGATCGAAGGAGATCGTCGATCAAACCGACGATCTACAGCAGACGATCGGTTCGAAACGAAGTTCTTCTAAGAAAAGAACATTCCGAGATCTCGGGGAGTCCCCACGGCAGCATCGAGAACGCGCTAACGCGTTTCCCCGTTAGAATCATTTTCTCTTCCGGTTCCGGGAACGTCTGTGTGTACATAGGATTCGCTGATAGCGTATGGTATTTTTATAAAAAATTCTCTCTTGACTCAATCGTAGAGGGATTAACGATAGCGTTCTCCCGCGACTTTTCGTTTCGTCCATGTTTTCGTTCGTCCTTTATTCTCTGCTTTCGATTCGTTTCTTTTCACCTACGGATAGTTTTAATCATTTATATAACGTATATGGTACACGCGTAGTAGCGTTAGTTTATTTCTACTGTTAAAAAAAGAGTAGAGCACGCGTCGCTGAGAGGATTCTGGCGGTCGCGATAGGTTCTATTGTCGGAGATATGGATGCTTACCGGTGCTGTATTAAACGATCCGAGGAACGGTCGCTGTTTCCCGAGGATACAGTTCGCCACGATTAGTATACATACGAGTAGCTTATAAAATATAGATCGTAGGGAGGTCATGACACCTTTCTGTGCGCGTGTGTGTGTGCGTGTGAGAGGATTTCAGTTATCTACGACGCCATGTCGGCGTGACTGGCTCGCTTTTGACCCCTCAATTTGTAAATAAAACGTTTTTTTATTGTTGGGACGTTCGCGTCGCGTTTAAATCGAGCTGCTGGGTTGGCAAGAAAGTAATTTCGGGGTTTTAGTGTGAAATAAAACTCAATTTATTCTAAAAATGAACTTTGATCGGTCGTGTAGCTTCCATTTTGTTCGATGACCTTCCGCCATCTTGCTAGGAAGAATTCTCGTCGAATTTGTGGTCCTTATAATTCGAGACCAAGATTTGAGGTCATTATTACTGAAATTTTTACCATTTAACCACGTTCAGTGTCAAATCAAATAAAATATTCTGGAAAAGTAGAATTTTGATTTTGAATTTTGATTTCATTGTAAGCTACATAACCTAAAATTTGTTTCGACACTTATTTTCGTAATCTTGTTGTTAAAATTCACAAATTCTATTCAAATTTCTTTCTTTCGATGTCTTAACTCGAGAATTTTTCTAGTATCATAATGGTGAATCCTTCCGCCATCTTGATGGTTAGAATTCTCGTGGAATTTCTGGTCCTTAAAACTCGAGACCAAGATTTGAGGTCATTATTACTGAAATTTTTACCATTTAACACACGTCCACTGCTAAATTAAATAATATTCCGGAAAAGTAGAATTTTGATTTTGAATTTTGATTTCATTGTAAGCTACATAACCTAAAATTTGTTTCGACACTTGTTTTCGTAATCTTGGTGTTAAAATTGATAAATTCTGTTCAAATTTCTTACTTTCGACGTCTTAACTCGAGAATTAATTTTTCTATTATCATTATTGGTAAATACTGTGACCCATATATGGGTCACGTGGCGGTCAAAGTGTTAAGAAGTTTCGTAAATTTCGAAATAAATGATTTTACTATGATTCTTATTTAAAATTTGTGATTTATCAAATTGTAATCTGATGAGGTTAATTTAGATGTAGAGATTCATGTACAAAGTCTCGAATTGGTCAGATTTCTATAAAATTTCGAGGTTAACTTTTTACTTTTTGACTGTGGCGCCTCCTAGGAAGAATCCATCGTCATAGATCAGTCGACATAGTGGTGGTCAAAGTGTTAAGAAGTTTTGTAAACTTCGAAATAAAATGATAATTCATTTTTTAGAATGATTCTTACTTAAAATTTGTGATTTATCAAATTATAATCTGGTGAGGTTAATTTAGATGTAGAGATTCTTGTATGAAGTCTTGAATTGGTCAGATTTCTATAAGATTTCGAGGTTAACTTTTGGCCTTTTGACTGTGGCGCCTCCTAGGAAGAATCCATCGACATAGATGGCGCCACCGTCACGTGTCGCTGCGACTGGTGACCAAAAAAGAGACCATTCTTACGGTTTAAATTAATAATGAATGCAAATAAATTCAAATATCCAATTTTAAATGTAAAAAAAATGCAGAGGGCGCAAATTTACGCTTTTCGTATATATTAATAGTCTTTTGAAAGCGTATATATACGCCTTTAGCAATCAAGGGGTTAAAAAGTCCAAGTCTCATATGATTTTCAATTGTTATATGTGATACATTTAACTATTTTGCAATCTCTCACACATGGCTTCCATTTTGTCATCGTTAACTTCAGAAGGCCGACCAGATCGTTGGTAATCTTTCACAAATTTTTTTAACCAATTCTGGACACGTGTGTTCTGTTAAACAATCAACACCATAAGCTTCACACATATAGTTGCCTTTATAAAAAAATAAAAAAGTAAAATTGTGTCGAAAATGTTTATTTTTGCTCTTCATATTAAAACCGTAAACTAACAATTGTAAACAAAATTACACGGAATTTGCCATAATCTTCACACATATACTAGCCTTTAAAAAAATAAAAAAGTAAAATTGTAAAATTGAAAAAGTCCATATTAAAACTGACCGTAAACAAAATTACTATAACAACAACCAAATCTAAAAAGAAACAAATTCACAACATCGACAAAAGGTGCAAAAACCGAGATCTCTTGCCGACCCAACAAAATGGACGCGTACGCGATTCGTTGTTGTACAGAGGTTTTGGAACGCCTGGCTCGACGATTTTCTGTTCTGTATCTATCGCGTCGCCGGCCCATAAAGGCACACTGTCATATAGTAATAAAAAAAGAACATGTGCAAAAGAACGAGTGATTGGTACCACGAATGATACACGAAGAATGAGAACATATATGAGACCGGTAGGGTGCGTAAGGTTAAACACAATAATCGGTAACTTAATCCTCAAATATGTACTTATTATGAGCTTCAACAAGTATTGAATAACAATTACGTCGTAAGAGTTAAGTTAAGACTTGATTTTCAAGCTGCAAGAAGAGGACAGAGCGTTCGACGACTCCGGAGGTTGATTTTCGTGCTTTCCTCTTGTGCAGTGGGGAAAGAATCTCGATCCATCGTTCAC